CTGCCGTCCGAGGGATTGATGAGACAGACAGGAATGGACGGTAGAGCGCCCTTTGGGCAGAGAAACGGTGTTTGGCGTGATGCCTGGCTCAACTCAAACAACACAACTTCAGGATGGGCTATTGTGTATGGACCGCGTGTGTACAACAGATACAACCCCTGCCTAGAGAAAAGGAAGGGACTTAAGAACAAGAGCATCAGCTGTTTACCAAAGTCGAATGAGAGTCATTTTCAAGCTTTTCAGCCCGTTGTGCAAATAATATTATCTACCACAGTTGATAATAACATGCGATGATTCGATGTTCCATTGTATTCCAGTAGTGGTGATGATTTAAAAAGTTTGATACGTGAAGCAGGGGAAACATTAAGAGCCACTAAGGGCTTGAACTTAGTATTAGGAACCGTATCTGCATTTCCAAAGCTGGGCAGAGTAAATGTCTTGCGCGCGACCAACAAATGAAAATTCGAGTTCTGTTTTTGCTGGGATTCAGGTGCTTTAAAATATTAAACATTAAAACTACTAATAAATATAATACTCTTTCACAAGATCAGAAAATGTTGTTAGTTATCGATTTGGAACGTTTCCTGTGTGGTTACAAATAAATTGATAGTGTCAAGTGAGTGCCGAAAGAAACCTGTACGAAAAGACGTTTAGGCTGTTATTCCTGGCTCACTAAGTATGAATGCAGAGAAACAGCACAAGTGACGCAAATTTTATATGGGACTGTGTTTGTAGCCTGTATGTATGTATGTATGTTATGTATGTATGGTATCTGAGTATGTATGTATGTATAGTATGTAGTATGTATGTATGTATGTATTATGTATGTGATGTATCGATGTATGTATGTATGTATGTATGTATGTATGTATGTATGTGATGTGTGTGTACCTGTGCTCAGACCGCGCAGCCTGCTCCGCATGCTGTACTGCGGTCGGGCTTGTAGCTGAGGAGGCATGTCACTGTGCAGGAGGAGGGGTAGCAGGCTGCCGGCAAGGAGCCTCCTCTTCCACATTACACTCTGCATGGAAGAACACATATTTACAGATAAGGCAGTAAACAGGCGGTTATTTTTGAGTGGAGGAAAGCACATCTCCTACTGACCGCTGACTCTTCCCCGCTGGCGGGCAGTTGCTGGTTCCTGTCAGAGACGTCTGGCTAAAGGATGTCCGACATGCGAGCAGAGCTTAGCGGCTTAGCTGCCAACAGGGCTCATCCCTGACATAGGCTCCACCTGATCCTGGACAGAAAGTGCAAAAACAGGTCATTCAATTAAAGTTACCAATTACTTAACAAGCAGCTTCTGGCAGCTAGGATGACATGGAACCCTTTGTGAGGATTAGGTATGTTTACAGCAGCAGGGTGGGGAACCTTCTGCGCCCCGGGCCCGTGTACGCGACCACGAGACCATTTGGATACGGCCCCTCGAGGTAATTTATAAAAACACACGCAAAAAGAGAAAGAAATTAAGAGAAATCTAGACCGCCAAAACAATTAAACAAGCGAGGGGGCATGTTTTTCCTGCGCCCTCAGCACAACACGAGCCATAACGTGGTATATGTCTCGTCTGACAGGGCTGTAGAGCTGGATGGAGAGGCACCGAACGCCGCTCCGGCCACTTCAGAAATGGTCAGAGCTACTCTTAAGGAGGCCGCGTACACATGCCGCAGTTTCTGCGTGGCTGGTGTCTTTTAGTTGAAAGCCAGTGGCGGATCTTTCATCTGTCGTACTGATCATACAGTCAATTAACTTTGTTGTTATTAAGCATGCTGGGTTAGCTAGCTATGCTAACGAATATAAGGAAGCTTTTTCTCCAACCAGTGAGGTAAAGGCACATCTTTATATGATCATTATGGTTATAAAAAATAAGAGAATAAAGTAAACAGGTATAAAATACTATATGACAGTAAATATTTTTTTTAATTAATAAACAAGAATACAGTTTGAAAGGGGAGTGATTTGTAAAATATCCATAAAGAAAAAGTAAATCTGATTACAGTTCTGTTTCATATGGGTGTTGAGAGATGTATCCATAGATCTCCTAATGTTGCTCTCAAAGTGCACCAGATTGATGCTTTTAACTTCAACTTTAAAAAAAAAAATGTATCATATTATCACACATGTAGTACATTGACGTAACCAGTGTCTTTTGTCAACGCTGCAGGCTTACATGCACAATATCTCATTTTACGACCACAAGTAATCTGTCAATCAAAACAAGTACAAAAGACAATCTTGAAGTAGCATGGGATCGTAGAATTAGCTTTCCTCGCCACTGTTGCATCAGCCTTTTCTTCTATGGTTAAAAATAAAGAAGATTCAAAAAGTATATTATAAAATTGTGGCTTGAAACGAGATGAAAAAACGATTTATGACAGTTTCTGGAAGGTGATTCCACAACATTACAGGCGACCACATGAAACAGAAAGCTACCTTGATGAAAAATAAACATTTCTGTCGGATGTAAAGCTGTATGAAACCTTTGTGATAATGTAAGAACACAACTCGAAAATATAAAAAGTATAACATATAACAAATATAACGTAGGTCTAGACAATTGTAGACATTTTATTGCAGCTGTTTCACTCACATAGGCATCGTCACAGGTCTGGATGGTGTGGTGGCGCTGCAGCTGTCCACGGGACCTGTAGGTGTCAGGCTGGGGAGCCCGCGAATAACCAACACCATTATGGTCAGGCACCTCCATGGCCTGCCCCTGGGGCCTGCACTCCACATGTTCAGATTCTGAGAAAAGAGAAAGACACTGATTATACCATGTAATGATTTTTCATTTCGGCGAACAAAAGGTTATTCAGTGTAGACTCCAAGTGGTTGTTTTGACACCTAGTTTCTTGACTTATCACTGCAGAGCCCAAACATATTTAGTTTTATATAATATAAAATAGAGCATCTCTATATTTGAGAGGCTGACAATTTTGGCATGAAAAACAACTGAGGATTCATTAATTATCAGTTACTTTTCTGTTGGTCCACGTAAAGAATGAAAAGTCATTGCTGCAGCTTTAGAGGTCAAACACTGGACTATTCTGTGTTTATAACAGAAAAGTATTTTTGCTCACCTACTTAGTCTGATAATACCATTGTGTGATTCTTACTTTCTAATGTTTATCTCTATTAACTGGCTTTCACATCTTTGCTAGACTTGTTAAAAGTCCTTATTAAGAAGATTGTATGCGATGTTGTTAGTTACAATCTATGAGCACCACCAGTTCATCTTCTGTTGAACTGAGAACTTCCTGATACTGTCTCCCTAACTTCCAGAATGCTCCGTTCCTTATCGCCAAGCTTGACTCCCCCTTTTCTCCTCCCTGTGTTTAAATATGCAACGTGAACTCTATTCTGTCTTCTACTCGGTAGACAGTATGCTCTAAGTACGAACTGAACTTTCTTGCAAAAAATTAAATATGATAAAGACACTTGAATGGTTATATTTCCACATTGGACAAATTCAAAATGCCCAAAACATGTCTTACCTCTAGTTGCTGGAGCGTTCCTTATGTATCCACCCTGGCTGTGTGTAGGGGAGGTGTAGGGGGGGGTGCCTCCTTGGGGCGGCCCCAGGAGCTCATGACCGTCTCCTGCCTTGGCCAGCAGGCCCTCGTGTGGGTGGTGGTAGCTCGCCGGCACCTCGTCCTCCTCCATGCTCTCGGAGTGGGGTAAGCTGGGGCAGGGTGCCTGGGCCGGGTGCTGCTGCGGCTGCACCTCTGGGGGTCGAATCTGGAGCAGGTGGTGGTAGTGTTGGCCCCCAGGGGCCCCCTGCGGTGCCTGCGGCTCCAAGGTCTCACCCTGGCTTAGCTGGCGGAGAAGCAGCATCTCGCCGTACTCTTGAGGGGACCCGCTGGGTGGGCTGGGGGCCGCTTGGCACGGCCGGGGGCTGTGCCTCTTCAGCAGGGCAGCCATGTCCTGGGGGGGGAGCCTGGGGTCGCAGTGGCCTGTTAGAGAGTGGCGGGGGGACAGAAGGCCCTGCAGGGTGGGAGTGATGTGCTGTTGGGGGGGGCGGTAGTCCAAAGGAGTCGGGGAGAGCAGGGCCTGCTGGAGTGTCGAGGGGGGGCCGTAACCGCCGGCCCCAACTCCCCCATAATCCTCCAGGCCGGGGACTGTGAGGGAGGTGCCCTGCAGGTAGTGGCCGTAGGCGGCCCCCCGGGACATGGCGTCGCCAGAGAAGAGGTGGGGGTTAAACTGCGCCTGGTCATAGGCCGATGTGAAGCGGCCAAGGCTGCGACTGTAGAGGAAAAGGCCGAGGACAATTAGCTGAAACATCAACAACCCTCTTTATAAAAGTGCAAGTAGGCATTTCTTTATTGGCTTTTAGCTTTCACTAATCAACAGGAAGCCTTCATTAAAGCATGGCACAGCCGAGCAAACACTTGAGCTCAATTTCAGGTGAAAGTATTCGCTGAGAGTTCTAAAAACTTTTTCAAGAAAAGGGCACATTTAGATTCATCAAGGTATTAAAGTTTGTGTTTGTTTGCTCTCAGTGAAGACAGTCCTGGTTTAAGGGGACTTCTGAAAACCAGGGGCTACAGGATGACTAATCTCATACCTACTGTTGAGACTGCTGCTACATATACTTCAAAAAGACTGACACCTGAAAACTCACCTAGCTACACTTAGGTGGAGAATTTGTTGAGGATGTCATCTCAGCAAAGAGGATTGGGGGATTTACATACATGATTTGAATACTGGTAACAAATAAAGTCTGGAATCTCTCACATAGAACATCTGGTATGGGCAACAGTATTATTGGCTGAAATGTCCAAATACAATTTGTAGAAAGACAAGAGGATAAAGGAAAAATAAAAAACAGAAAGAGTGAGAAACACATAATGATGAACATAAAAGACAACAAAGAGCATGGAGGTGTCCTAAGAGTGGTGAAGTCATAGAGAGAAATGAAACAAAAGATAAAACAAAACCAAAAACGGAAGAAGACGACAGAAACAGTCCATTGGTAATGTTGGGAGGCTTTGGCCCGCCATCGGGGGGACGTGCTGACAGGATGGGCGGGGTCACCTGTGCATCTCGGCGTTGTCTGCGCTAAGCTGCTTCCCGAGGACTCTGTGCCCAGGCGTGGTCAGAAAGCCGCCCTGTCTCTGTGCTACACCTCCCAGCTCCACCTCCTGAACCTGAATGGTCACCTGTAGAAACAGTCAATATTCGTTATTGATCAGAGATACATGTAGACCAACACTTTTTTGCTTTAAAAAAAATAAATGTTAATATCAGCAAAGAGGAAATGTGATGGGCTTTTTGCAGTCACCTGCTGTTGCTGAGGTACACCCTGTGCCAATGGGACGGTGGGGCGGGCAGAGGCTGCTTGTTGATTGGTTGGTATAGAGACTCGAGACATGCCTGTGGGGGGCGGGCTGCCACTCTGGGCCTGGTACATCGCTGGGGAACCGTGCTGGTACTGCACTTGTGACGGACATACTAGGAGAGGAGGAGAGGAGAGGGGTCATGATCTGTGGCATCATCATACAAATATTCTTTGATTTCTTGAAATTAAATAAAACGTTTAAAATTAAGTTCAGAAAATTGACCCTGAGGAAGTTCAAAGTCTAACATACATTCATTCATGAACCTTTGCCTATTTTCCTTCATTTAGATCCCATCATTTGGTCTTTTTCCAGCAAGAAAAGCTGCTTGGAAGAGTGCTACCTGCATTTATATTACCGCTTTTTAATTAGTTTTTAGGCTTGATACCGATAGGCTATCTCGGTAATTGTTCCGTTAGACTACATTAATCAAATCAGTTGTTATATCAACATATTAATCACAGTTTATTGTGCACTTGTTGAATGATGTGTTTACTCACCTGGTGCCCTTGGTCACAACATATTCATTGCGTCAGCATAAACTAGGCCTTCCAGTACATTAGTCTTTACACAGTGTCGGGAATGAACGCATGTCATTTGTCCGTGTTTGTTAACAGATGACAAGGCCGGTGAGAAATTAAGAGCCTGAATTAGACCCCCAGTGTATCCATTTCAATCCATTTAATTTAAAATAGTACTGACCAAACAGTCAAAAGGGGAGTTTGATAACCAGTCTTCTATTTCTATAATCTTTCAGAAGATTGAGACCAAAGGAAGATGGATCTATACATCTCTAGTCACAACATCAGTTGTTTAGAAGCATTTCCATCACACTCCTGCAATGGAATTACTAACCATGCCCTTGCATCATGCCTGCAGAGCCGGGCGGAGGGCTCTGGTCGGGCTGTCTGAAGAGGTGGTTGCTGGGATGTGTTGGCGGAGGGCTGGAGGGCTGGATATGCAACCTGAGGGAGGAGAGCACAGAGGAGGAGGAGAGAGAGAGAGAGAGAGAGAGATACCACAATGATGTAACACTTCAGTCGATAGCACTGCACCACGGCATCAAGTTCATTGTTCACCACTCAATAGCTGATGAGTAATGTGTAGTGTGTGTGTGTGTGTGTGTGTGTGTGTGTGTGTGTGTGTGTGTGTGTGTGTGTGTGTGTGTGTGTGTGTGTGTACCTCTGGAGCTGGTGGGTTAGATGACTGGGCTGGCTCTCTCCATGGCCTAAAGACAGACCCTGCAGGTAGAGAAACATTTTAATTTGGCGCTGAAATAAATGTAATTATTTTACATTTTCAAGAACCTATTAAAGTTTCATCAAAATATGAGATGAACTCATTACCCCAAAGAGTGAACTTTCAAAAAAGTGTTTTGTGATGGTGGTTATATAAATGTGTTGGTGCCGTTAGACTGCTGTTGTACCTCCCTTCGTAAGGGCAGCAAGCGGGAGAGCAAACTGTTTTTTAGCTGCAGTGAAACTGTTGTTTGTTATTGTGAGTGTTTGTAAGTCTGAACACACTTATTCTACAGGTGGTTTTATATTATTAACAATGTTAGTGTTTCCTCATCTATTATCTGCTACTGAATTTGAACGTTGACATTATGAACCAAGCTTAAAGGCTTTTAAACTCAGTACAGCCCGATTACGTTTGACTGAAACCTTCAGTATTTGATGTTTTCTGACATTTTATAAACTAGACCCTCCAGAAAAACGCGATTCTGCGATCGCAGAATTTACCGCATAATCAGCCAAATGGCGCAGATTTTTAAAAAGCCGCATAATCCCCGCATTTTTCCACACAAAGTTGAGAAGAAAAAAAAGTTAACTCGTCTTGACGTGACGTCATCAGCTCGCGCATCACAGAATGTAAACAACACTGTATAGAGCTCATTTAGCAACGAACATTTCTACTAAAGACCGGGCAAAAAGTGGGGGGAACTATTCTGCACCCCGTGCAACTGTTGTTGGAGCATAAGAGAAAATTGACGGTGGCGACCCACTTTGATTCATTCAAACATTCGAAAATGCTTTCTGCTGCTGCGGACAAGAAAGCCATTCAACTCCCGTTCACCGAGGGATCAACCTCCAAAACCCTTTCGAGGGCTACAAGAAACGAAGTGAGTAGCCTACAAGATTGAAGCTGGTCAGATAACGAACGAGTAAATGAAAACAGAA